AAAATGCATCATCTATGGCCAATATACATTACTTTATATTACATATATACAAGCATGATGTTTTTACTTTTTAAGTGTTAATATTTTTCTTTTATATCCTATATTGAGTATTGACATATGATGAAATTCCGGTCCGCATCACAAATTACCCCAATTAATGGCAATTAATGTGTTGTAGGTTCCATTAATAGACCTGACCTTAAAATTTGTGTCTGTTTTAAAGTTTAAAATACTTATTTTTGTCAAATACTGTTATTTTGCAGCATGTGGCAATAATTCCTTTCTGGAAAATTACTTTACAATCTGGAGAATTCACTTAAAAAAATGACCATATGATTCTAAATACAAAGATTTTATTTAACATTGTGGGGGGAGGGAGGGGGTAAGTAGGAATAAACAAAAATTAGACAGAAACGATTAAGGATGCTGTAAATAAGATGGAAGTGTTGCTCCCTGATGTGCACATGCCTAGAAAATTATCAGGGTATGTTGTCTTATAAATCTTAATTCTTCCAAACAGCGAAAATTGAAACTATTTTTACAACATTTTCTAACAATATGTGTACATATCGGTATATATATCTATTAAAAGCTGTCAAATGGAAGTACACCATCACCCCACCCCATCCACAAATCCATAAACTCACCCCTAACAAAGACCATGGGTAGTTGATACCTTTAGACATATGCCATCCATTAAAAATTAATCAGGTCATGACACATATCTATAAGCCAGACTATGTGAAATAAACACTACCAACATTAACTCAACTGTATACACACATGAAAACCATTTCATACACATTCAAAAAAGACTTGTGTGATGGTTTAAACATTTTCTTAGGGTTTAAAAAATACCAAAAACATTGTTGCAGTTTGTTTATTTATTTATTTATTTGTTGCTACCCTTTTACATCAGGAGCTCACTAGTAAGTAATTAGGAGCTGCAATAAAATTATTGGAAAAAGCACATACTATATAAATGAAAAAGAAACAGAAAATTAACACAATAAATAAAAGTTGTTTATATTTTTAAAGTTTCTAACAAAAATATGATATATACATTTTATGTTATCAAGTTTATTTACTTGAAATACTGACTTTGATATACTTTTGTATATTATCTGGTTTATTGTCTTAAATTAAAATACGGTACACATATTATTTTTTTTTATTCTTACACCACAGTTAAGTTGGATACATTACAATGTTTATTGGAAACTGACACAAACAGGGTTTTAATATCATCCTCTACCCCCACTTTTTTTACTGCAAACACACTCAGTAATGTAGCAACCATGGAACGCGCACAGGGGACTCGAAGCATGTCCAAAGCATTCCAGATTTCACATTACTTACCCCTCAGCAGCAACTTTCAGTCGGTTTGATTGCAAGCAGTGTTGAATGGACCTAATGATAGCTTCCATGCCATAGACACTATGACATTTACTGTAGAAGTCTTCTGAGTTACTTAGTAATAATAAACAACACAGCACAGAACTGTAATAAAAAGACAGTTTAAGTAACATACTGTAACTAAAATACTTTATATTTTATAATTCACTTTCAACAGAGGGGTAAATCAACAAAAACAAATCACATGACACAGACAATGAGTCAGCCATTTTGAATCAGCAGTTGAAACAAATACATGTCAATATGTGTCACATGATGTATATGTTTAATGTTGTAATTTGATTGGTCCATACTACTACTTTGAAATATTCAAGGACATTACCAATACTGTAAAATGACTAATTTTCATGAGTTTAAATTTCACTGACTTAGCATTTCAGGCATATTCAGTAGGTTTTAAGTTCATGATTTTATAATTTAGATAATGTGTTCTATGCTCAATTTTACATATTCACTGGGTTTTAATTTAGGACATTTTCCAGTCAGCGAAATAAGCAAAATTAAAACGCAGTGAATAATTAACCTTTTTACAGCACAGTCTGAGACGAACACTGACCAGTTTCTTCACAAACATACTAGAAATGTATGTTTTTGTGATCATCTCAATTTATACAACACATCTTCAATTTGATAAAATCCTAATATACATGAATGATGTTCATCCATTTTTCAATTGTGCTCGAGTATTAATAAATAAAGTTAACAAACTTACCCAATTAGTAAATGATCAGTTGTAGCGAGGGTTTCGTAAAGAAACTCTGCAATATCAGCTTGTAAAAAAAGTGCCGCATACTGGTCGTTTTGAACCAGTAGTTGACATAGACACTGAACAGCAGCAATCTTAATACTCACAGCAGAACACTGTAACAATATCTATGGATAAAGCAGGAGTTACTTAGTCACAAGAAAGTAAACCTTAACAGTAGATGAAACAGGTGAAAACATAAGTCATAAAAAACACCTGATAAGTTTATTCGGTACCCGCGGTATATGTTTCAGTTAAGAGAAAGTATTCCGGTCCAAGGTCCGGTGAGCTTCAACTTATTTTAAAATCAATGTTTAAACCATATCAAAATACCACAAGTAAGAAATATTATTATACATCTGTCACCGTAACACCATAAGTTACAGCGTGTCGTAATTTTTCGGTATTGCACTGGGTATTTTCATCCTTCCATATTAGGAATCGCAAATTCCAAATATGGAACGACTACTAATAAAAACAAACATGGCTCCCAGGCTTTGACTTGACCCCTAACAAAGTTTGCTAAATCTGTTCTCAACGTTTTGGATTTTGGCATTCCCATGATGTATTCCTGGGAGGAAAAGACGTATAATAATAAGGTTATTACGAGGATACTGCAAATTATGCACTAAGACAGTATGCTATCACATCGACCTCTGCTGAGTGTCGGTCGATACTGTCGCTGTACTGTCTTTGTGCATAATTTGCAGTATGCTCGTAATAATCTCATATGTATAAGCATCTGCACTGTGCAATGTTGAGCGGTATACCTGGATTGAACGATAGCCTAATTATGATTATATTAATAAAACACAAAATATACAGCAACAACTGTTGCAAATACATGCATCACATGACAATATAATCATAATTAGACTGATGCCTCCTAGTATATGACATTATGATATCATTATTAAATATTACCTTTTTGAGTACAGATGGTAGTGATACATCTCCATGATAATTCATAAAACTTTCTGCCAAAGATTGATTAGCCAATAGTTTCTTAAGCAATCCTGCAACATTCAAAGAACAACAAATACCCATATTAAAGAAGTACTGTTCAACACTGGTCTCATATTATTTTCTGAATAATCTTTATTTTTTCCAATTTCAAATTTGGTTCAAAAAACTGATTTCGCTAGGCATTCTCCTGGTGTGGAAATACACATTGTGCAATTACATAGAAGTTGAAAATGACTGTGAGGGAATATGATAGGTTTTCTAAAATTAGAGGGTCCGCAACATTTTGTTGAAATATTCACTAGCTATCCTAGTCTAAATTAACTGACATATTTCACTGACTAATGACTAAGTTAATATCATCTTTACTATAATGTGCATTTAAAGCACCATTAACCTAGGAAGTACATAATGTTTGGTATCCAAAATCTCCCTCTATTTATTGTATCAGACTAAAACAATGCACCAATGAATTTCTCTATAATTATCTCAAATTCCATGTAAGGTTTCTCATTATAAAGCCAGCCCAGTGATTTATATACCAGTACTCACCCACAGTATTTGTGATAAGTTGTTGTGACTGTGTACTCTCTAACACCACTAATATATTGTGGCACAATGGTTTATGTAGTTGACTTGAGATATTATCAACGTCGCTATAAACACTGCTCAATGTATACATAATGGAAGACTGAATCTCTACATCCTCACTGTGCAGACCAGATAATAAGTAGTGCAGAATCTCGTCTAGAAGAGAAAACAAGGGTGGATAAACATAAGGGTTTGCAGTGTCAGTGAATGTATACATCATGGAAGACTGAATCTCTACATCCTCACTGTGCAGACCACATAATAAGTAGTGAAGAACCTCGTCTAGAAGAGAAAACAAAGGTGGATAAACATAAGGGTTTGCATTGTCAGTGAATGTATACATCATGGAAGACTGAATCTCTACATCCTCACTGTGCAGACCAGATAATAAGTAGTGAAGAATCTCGTATAGAAGAGAAAACAAGGGTGGATAAACATAAGGGTTTGCAGTGTCAGTGGATGAATGTATACATAATGGAAGACTGAATCTCTATATTCTCACTATGCAGACCAGATAATAAGTATTGAAGAATTTCATCTGGAGTAGAAAACAAGGGTGGATAAACAGCATAACTAAATATATACATAATGGAAGACTAATTTCAACATTCTCACTGTGCAGACCAGATAAAAATTAGTGCAGAAACTCATCTCGAAAAGAAAATGCATGCATGCACACATAGAGGTCAATCTTGTTTGATGTTTCATACATCGCATGGAGCCTGTATCGAATAATACATGGTACAATGACTGTGTAACTTTAAATTACATGACTTACAGTTGAATGTAAATCACACTCACAAAAATTCTCTGCTTGATTTCATATATTAGATATACAGATGAACAACCAATAACTACTTCTATCAATTACGTCAATCAATTATGTTAGTAAATGCTAGTCAAGTACAATTATTTAATGAGACACATATGTGTATATTATCATCCCTGAAGGCCAAAAATATTTGCCGCTCTAATTTGTTGGAATAAATTTTAATTCACCATTCTGTTTATAGTTACCAAATGAAAGTCTAAACCAGTTTTAGAAGAGTTGTTCATTGACAGGTACTAACTACACTGAGCGAATATGAATCACCAAGCTTAACAACAACATAGCGCCCTCATAAGATGTATTTGGGAGAGGTCATATATTCACCTTTGCACAACCAGTTTCCTCTTTTCATCACAAATTCGCAAAATAGTCGCATTTGCACTTTCTTTCAGAAGATTGGGACAAAAATAGTAAACATTTTTTGAGTAAAAATTAATTCAAATTGTGTCTGTTGCCTCCAAAATTAGGGTCATTTACAGAAGAATATAAAGTCTGGTGGTAAAAATGTTAACGTATTGAGAGGGGTTTAAACCAGCCAACATGGTCAATCAATTTTGAGATAGTTTCAGTAAAGTTTAATTTAATTTACAGAATATAACTACCATGTGGAAAACAATTGATTTGAGTTGCATACAGCAAAGGAAAATCATCAAAATGATCACCAGAGTTTTACTTCTGGAGTACCCAGTACAATAAGTCTCTTCATCAAAGTGTCATTATGTGTTTAGTCCCAAGATAGTTCCATTCAGCCTGGTAATGCTTAATCCTTTCAGTCTATGCCCCATCACACATACTGTCTTGTATGCTTGGATAATAAATGACTGATTAACCAGGGCTAACCTGAGAATCCTGAACAAACACTTCAATTTTTATATTTTTTTTCAACAGAATACTAGTGTAATTCTTACCCTGCATTGTATCAAAGACCCTGTTTGGCAAAAATAGTTAATTATTTATTAATCCTTTTTTTAAACTTACAAAACATTTTTCACAATTTATTTTTAGAGAGCACCTACTGTCTAAAAAGTTATACATGTCTACTTTATACATGTGCACTTTACCTAAGTTAACTCCATGTTTCTGTGACTACTTTTTTTTTAACTTAAATGTATTTGAAGGAATCATTCATCATCATAGTACAGATCACATATTTATATAAATAAAAATGGATGTGGCAAACTTAATTTTTCTTTTGACCTTATTAATCTGGCAGGGTCTGATATTACCTTGATTAATCAGTAAAGGATGTACTATTGCAGGTAGACTTTGACACAGATGACTCAACAGTGACAATCCTGCTACAACTGTACCACATGGCTTCGTCTGCAGAATCTGGTAGAGTAAAAAAAGGAATGATTTTTTTTTTATATTTATTCATAACTTAGTTTTGAGTTAGATTGTTTGTCTCAAGATGATGTTATTCTTTAGATGTAGTTTTTTTTTTTCATTGAATTGCTCCTGCAGCCCCCCCCCCTCATTTCTCCCTATGCGTTTTGGTGAGGGTTACAGAACATAAACCAGTACATGCTACTTACACCTGTGATTTAAAAGCTGAAAACGTCACATGACCATGATTTATCTATTTTTCATACATTCGACAGCAGCTACATGCACCACACAGTGCATTTATTGAGAAAACACATCCTTCTGAAAGGATGAAAAGGGTTTCATTTCTTACATTGTAAAACTAACAAAATTCTCACAATAAATTGACTAATACTAATAAGCTAACAACTATACTACAACTGTACTCTTTCAAGATATCCTCGATAACAAAAATACTACAAAATAACAACTATAAAATGGTCTAGAACTAAAATAATAACAAAAAAGACAAAAGCAAAAAAAATATGTATATATAAAAAAAAGATAATCATAATAATGTAGTTGCGTTAAATACAGAGCATGGTAACCACATTGTGAATGATATTTTTTTTGGAAACTGATAAGCATAGAATAAGGTAGTGATAAATTACATGTGATTACATGTCTAATATTTCACAAAAGAATACTATCACATGGTCAACATCAATTTATAATAACAACAATCAATGTTTACGGCCGATATACTTCCACTGTTTACAATTCATATCATAACAGAAAAGAATGTTCACTCAACAATATTAAACTAATTTGTTTTAGTCGTTGAATCTGAAATATAAATTTACTTTTGACAACAATGTGATACCAGTGTATGTGTAAACTGATAAATATGATTTAAAGGTCAAACGACAACACCGATAAGAGAATCTTGAATAAATACACAGAAGATCAGGTCATGACAGTGAAATAGTGCATCCTTGCAAACATCAGTCGAAATATATTCATGTATTCAAGTATGTACGCTTACAATTTTCAGGTGTGAAAATGTGTCATAGGGCAAAATAAACAATTTACAACAGTGCAATAGTGTTACAAGCAATACCACTTTAAAAATATTTCATGTTAAGCCTGGTCTGGACATCAAAATTACTACAAGTCTATTTCCTGCATAATGACACGCCTACTTTTTATGCATCAAAACTAATACACATACATCAATTTTGTTTATCACTTCAATGCAAAGTGCAGTGACACTGTGCAAACATAACTAAAGGGGAACGCCATGTAAGGAACACTGATACAATTTCAGTAGGCTCAATCTATGCGTGTGATGATAGTCACAGTTTGAGCAGCACATGGCTGACAGAGCACATCAATCCATCAGTGCATATAGCAAGATCTGGAAAGCAGGTGTCAAAAATGTCACTTCATCTAACACTATGTGTACATGAGACTAATGTGGTTGGGCAGCCAGAGCAAGAACACTGAAATTCTCCCACCTGTTGCCTTGTAAGAGCAATAACATAATTGCTATCAACACATTTTCACACAGGAATTTCCTGAGAAGTTATTCTAGGTTGTAAAGTCTGAAAATGTCACACTACAAGTGTATGAACACCACATGAACTACCAGTATATTTTGAAATATAGACTTTAATAGTGACTGAATTTTGCATAATTTTCAATTTCAAATGATCATCAGATTAAGCATAAATGCAATATGTGAAATCAAAAGCGCTTTGCTTTTTGTCATTTATTTGATGTAACAAGAGTTCTTTTTTTTTTATAAAGACCTTATAATTTGTTTTTTACTACTATACCCTTATTATTGGCCATATTTGACTGCTGGGGTTTTATGTAAATAAATATTAAAATGAATGAATAATAAATTAACAATATGCTTTTATAGCAAAATATCAAAAATTTCAATTTACTCTAGCTTCAACTTTTCTTAGACTTTTGGTAGTTAAGAGTTGGAATTATAAAAATTTGGGGAGAACTCAAATTAGAACACAAAATCCTGGGAATAAATCCATACCTAAAAAAATCCATGCACAATGACTAGCCAAAAACATGTGTTTTCAGCGACATCATCCAAGAAAAAGAATCTAGCTAAAAACTAAGTGAGAAAGATAATTATTTGCAAATTATTCCTTTTATCTTCTCTCCCAGAGTTTGTAACGGCCCATCCCTCAGTGACATGTATGTATAATAATAATCATAACTTTATTATAATTATAAGGATGTTGACTTGAAAAGTACAAAAGCTGTTGAAATTATATATACATTCTCTACATTATATATACATTCCGTCCTTGAGTTTGTAAATTCACCTAGAATTGCTTCCGAACCACACACACAGATTCAAAAAGTTCACTCCTCCATACACCTACCCTACTTGCCCTTGAAAATAGCCTTTATTAAAGTATAAATAACCTGCTGTCAGCTGGGGTAGATAGACATGACAGTATTGTAACTAAGTAAATAAATTCTGTGACAACAATCTACACAATATCAATGACCTACATATTGGTGTATCTGGTACATTTAATTACATTTTAACATTTCATGTCAGTATACAGGGTTTGAACTTGGCTATTCTGAAGGGCTCTCGATTTCAAGACCACAATTCCTAAAACTGCCTTGGACTGATTCAAATCATGAATGAAATAGTTAAATATATTGATTTTTATGCAGGATTTTAGGCAATGCCTCAATTTCCAATTCCGAACATATAGTTGTAACGTATGAAAGCACCAATTCCAAGTTTGAAATTTGTGTTAATAAACACATTTATTATGTTTTTCACATTGTTGCATGTGAACAGTATCGACACCAATAATGACATAGTGCAATCAATGACTGTTGGAATTTGAAGGCTGTTAACTGTTTCAAAAGGTTTCCTTGACTGTTAGATACACATCAAAACTATGTCAATTTTACAAATAAACATTCAAGCTATAAACAAAGTTGCCAACTTTACTAGGTTGTGGCTGTTAGAGATTTGGGTCATCATAGCTTCTTCAGTGGAAAAAGGGAATGTAAATTAGTACCAGTTTACTAAATTTACAAGGCTAAAGAATACAAAGTTCCTCATCACCATAGCCACCACCCTTGGCTATTAAAATGAAAACTGTGGCAGGTACCATGTCAGAGTTCAAGGTATCAGCTGTTTACAACTTTATTTACAA